TTACTTGCATAAGATTGTTGAGTCTCAAGTCTCTACAGATCTATTTTTCATACCAGCTCAAACATGTTTGCTAGTTGAAGACCCTATAGGTCCTTCATCTGTGCAAACTCAAATATCTATGCCAGTTGAAGCAACAGAATGTTCTACTTTTAAAACATGACTCAAATCTTAAGACTCTACCTCAACATCACAAGTGCTACCCCAGTTGAAGAATCTACAGAAAAAACATCGACATTTAAAGATTCCACATGTTGTGTGTGCTTGAAGACTTCGGAGCACATCAGTGTACAAACTGTAGGCGTAGTTTTTGTGTTATTTTTGGTCATAGTCATAGTGCTTGTAGCAAAGAGGGATACAATGCCAATGTGTTGTGTCCAATCTGCTATACTCAGAAAAATGGTAAACAAAAAAAAAGCTGCCAATAAGTTGAGTGTGGTACTGCTGTACGGATTTCGGCTCCTGAATGTGACAAGGGATTTGGTGACGACACAATATTTTTGACGTCATCATAGACACGCAGAATAATGTCTATCGCTTGGGAAGATTAAAGGTTTATTACAACAGCTTTTAAACTAGATAACAGTTTTCTGTGTGTATGAAGCCTTTATTGACATTAGAAGATATTCCGATGGACAAAAGAATCTCTCTCAGATCAGCAGCATTATTTTATGCTGTTTTTTGTTTATAAGTTTAATCCCTTTGTGTGTTATTTTATACTTTGCCCAAGTCCTGACAATTCTCTTCAAAGTGTGAAATATATAAACCCATTATACACTTTGCTTACGATTTCACAATTTGCCTGTAACATATATCTATTTCTAATGTGCATTTATACCAAGAATAAAAATAATCGCTAATTGAATGAAGAAATAAGATAATTTGTGATGCATTCAAAGAGCCTCAACATTTAAAATGACACGTCACAGGTTGGCCACCCCTACATTAAATCTAGAAGCTTGATTTTATTTTCCATTAATATATTTAAGTCTATAAAACTGCAAGCTGTAATGTGAGAAGGGAAGAGGAGTTTTGGAACCATACTGGGGTATTAAAATTATACTGCTGCTTTCTAGATCTTATTTTAAAAATGTCAAAATCTAATGCTGCTTGCAGAGCAGTTGAGAATGTATTTTTTTAAATTAAATTTTAAAATACCCATTGTTTTCTCAGTTTTCGCAATTGTCACGATTCAGTCAAAGAAATAAATAATTATGTCATATTTTTGTCAACCTGGTCTCTTAAAAATCGTAGTTCTAACCGCTCAAGGCATTCAATCTTAAGGGACATCTCAAAATTGTATATTGTACGCCAAAATCATAAGAGTAACCAGGTCTGTAAAATGGTGTGGTTTCAAATGGTAAAAATATGGATTTTTTAGAAAGGACTCCTATATCTTTGTTTTTTGACTCCAAATAATGTAAATAATTGTATAACCTGGTTATGCCACCACACCTACATGGGAGCTATTCAGATAGAAGAGAAACAGAATTTATCTCACATGGCAGTACCATATCAACTCAGATTGTTGTTGTTTTTTCACTTTTAGAATGTTTTACTTCTATTAGGGTCATTAAAAATATTTAAATCATGATCCAGAGTTCATTCACTTGACCTGGACAATGAAACTAAATTCAGAGCTTTGTTGATTAACAGGGAACAAAAATCAAGAAAATAAAGCATGTCATAATAAAATTAGAAAGATATAAGACTCTCAAATAATACATCTAAGCTCTAGTTGACATAAAATATTCAGGCTCATTTGTAAAACAAACACTTCAACCCTATGGTGAAAATACTATTCATTATCAGAAGTAGGCTTAATATAAATTTACTGGAACAACAGAGAGCAGATTTTATTTATCATAGGTGGGAAGAGCAACCTACAGCTACAATATTATATGTGCTTGAATGGCATGTCGACAAATCTTCCCATAAAAAGGTTGCTATATTTATTTTAATTTTTAATTATTTTTTTTATAGAGTATTCCTTAGTTATATATTTATTTAATGTGGCTAATAACAGCTTAAGTCTAAAAGTCTTAGTGGACAACAGTAACATGGATTTTTTTTTTAAATTGGGCTCATATTTTACAAAAAAGGCTTAATAGAGTTATATGACATACACTATTTACATGCTTAGATAATGTATACTAACTTACATGCTGTTCCTTTGGTTAGACTACATAATAAGAATATTTTTTAATGTTAGTAGAATATATGGTGAATGGTTAGTTCTTGAAAAAGGAAAAATTCTAAAAATTATAAGTATAAGAGACTTGGACAGAGCTGGCAGCAAGAAGGTTTACAAAAGAGAAAGAAGCATACTGGGTGTGTAAACTCAAAATGATGGTCAATATCTACAAGCAGTCAAAATACAACTCATATCTCTCACCCATAGTAAGTAGGCCATGCATAGCTTGCTAGGGTGAGTTTTTAAATAGGTTTAGTAAGGGATCTATCTTTGAGAAAAACTTTGCAGTTTTTAAAAATGTTTTTTAAATTTAGATTTTACAAATTTAAAAGATAGAATTATTAAAAATACTCTAAAGAAAATCTACATTGCTACAACAGAAAAAAAACAACTTATTATAATAAAATATAGAATGTTAAATGGCCAAAGATATGTTTTAATAGAATTAAAAAACAGATAAAGATTATGTTAGAAGTAAAACTGTATGGGATGCTAATATAAGCTAAATATAGTTAAAAATCATAGACTATACTTACACACTACACACACACATGAAAATCTTAGCAAATGTGCAACACTGGTCTCATGATTTCCTGAATTATTTTAAGTAGAAAATTAAATGCCAGACAAAAATAAAAACAAATTTCTAAAAAGTGGTAAGGGACCATCCATATATTACATACGCAATGAAGGTAGAGGGGGTTGTTGATTTTGGAGATTTGCACTGGGGGGGGGGGGGTGTGTCTCTACAGAAAGTATGTACATTTAGGCACAACTTCTGCAATAAGTATCCTTAAATTCACATAGTCTATAAATAGCCTATTTATTTCTCTAAAAATTTGTGAATCCATGATTTCTAATTATTTTTCATTTTTCAAAGGCTATAAAAATATCTCCGCAATATTTTGTTATATTATGATCATACTGTTGATTCGTGTTTTTTTACAAAATAAAAAGCTTGATATGGCTGTAATAGCAGGAATATTTAATCTACCATTAGCCTTTGTAAGTTTCCACACTAGTAATATAGTAATTTTATTTTGCAATGCAAGTGTTTTCTAAAAATTTTTTATTCTCTAAGACTAAGACCCTGCCGAATTTAGATTTTCTAACACATACACTTTGTAGTGGCAAAAATATGTTTTTAAATTAAAGGATTGAGTAAAAATAAAATAAAACACATATGTAGGTGAATAAGCACCAACTAGTAACCATTTGTAAAATTTTCTGCAAACAGCAATTATTCAAGTGAGTGAAAATAAAATTATGAAAATTGAGTAATATTTCATGCTCCCTTGTGAGGTAGCTACTGCTCCCCAAGGCACCATGGTGCACATTTTGGGAATCACTGGGCTGCGCCAAACCAAAGACAGATTAAAATTGTCTATAAATAAAATTGGGGGGGGGGGTAATTTTTATGTACTCAGAGGGGGTGTCCAAAAAAGTAGGTGAATAAACTGGGGGGTGGGGGGTATTTTTTTTTAAATTTGTCTTTTTTTGCATACATAATATATGGATGCAGCTTCAAGCATTAGAGGTAAACATTCACAGGAAGTAACTGGGCTACTTCAAACAGAGATTGGTTGGAGGCACATTTATTTCATCATAATCATCATGCTATTATCTTCAAGTATAACCAAAAGCTTTTTAAATGTTTAAGTTAAATAAATAAAACAACTAAAAAAAGAATGTTCAAAGCACCTTAAAAAAGCTATGCATAGAGAAAAATAATAAATAATATATTTGAAAAACTTAGTAAAAAATAAACAAGGTTTGTGTAGAGTTCTTCTTCAGTATTAAAAAAAGAAAACTTCAAATTAATATGGTACTGGTACAATGAACTTTGAAAGTATGGTGGATCCTCAATATTCATTCATGTTATTTTTCTTTTTTTTATATATTTGTCCTGTATGTTCATAGAAATTTTGTTTCACATACCGGTAGCTAAAAAATTTGATATTTGTCCCATCTGCCCAGTGAGTCAATCAGTCTCAGGTGGTGATTCAAAGCACTACTCTATTTCTTTTTAATATTTATGAGTTTTGACAGCTATTTTTTAAAGGACTATGTGACCATGGTGTTCTGGAACCAGAGTTTTTGTTCGTTTTTTTTTTTTAATTTAATTGTGGATTTTATATTCTTTTTAATTTTAGAGTCGAGTCCCTTGTTTATTGATGTAAATCAGTGGTTCTCAACCTTCCTAATGCCCCAACCCTTTATTACAGTTCCTCATGTTGTGGCAATCCCCAGCACAAAATTATTTTTGTCGCTACTTCATAACTGTAGAGCAGATGTGTTTTCAGATGGTCTTAGGCGACCCCTGGGAAAGGGTTGCGCGACCCTCAAAGGGGTCGCGGCCTACAGGTTGACAACCGCTGGTGTAAATAATATATATTTTTGATGAACATTTTTTTTATAAATAAAGAATATACATGCAAAATTCAGGGCTGGAAATGGATTAAAATATTTTTAGTAAATTTCTAAGTTAAAAAATTTGATATTTGTTCTTTTTGATATTCATCCTTCCCTCCTGAATAGATTAATGATGAATATTGAAGGTCCACTGAATATATTTATTTTTTTATTAATGAACCCTGAAATAATTTTTTTCTGCTATCAAAATATTATTATTTTTTCTTTCATGTTTTACTTTTTAAGAGTTGGGAGGATGGCATTAAGAAAGTTGTACTTGTAAAGTTTAATTTTTAGAGCCAAAATGGCTTTGATACAACTAGTGCTTTTCTTACTTATTACAATTTTGTAGAATAGCTGCCGCTACCTTTTGCTTCGAATAGCTATCTATAAATTGTCATATTTGAAACATTACTGACCATGCCAATGTTTTCGGTTTCACATCATCAATGATAGCTTTGACAAAATCCAATGTTGTAGCAGTACCTCCAATATCAGGAGTTCGTATCTGGAAAGAAATTTTTTTAGTGGTTTCATAAAGTCTCATTAATGAAATGTAATGAGGCAGTAAAATGTTTTTAGTTTTTATTGACAGTTCATCGTCATCATCATCGTGTCCCTTAGTCCTTGGACCGTTGGGGCGCCACAGATGACATGTGAACTATCCTCCTCCATTCGTCTCTGTCTTCTGCACTGCGCACAGCATCGCCAGTGTTAGTCCTGTCCACTCTTTGATGTTACCCTCCCATCTTTTTCTTTGTCTTCCTCTTCTTCTCCTTCTTCTTGTGGTGCCCTGCAGTATTTTTTTGGCGAGCCCTTGTTTCCTTGTTACGTGGCCGTACCATTGTAGTTTGCGTTTTTTCACAGTCACCAGTAGGTTATCGTACTCCCCAATTGCCCGGCGAACCCTTTCCTTCACTGTATCATTGGAGATATGGTCCCTATAGCAGATGCCAAAAATGCTTCTGAAGCATCTCATCTCCATCGCCTTTATTTTCCTTTCAAGATCGGATGCTAATATCCAGGATTCGCAGGCATACAGGAAAATGGAGAGGACTGATGAGCGCATCAGCCTAATTTTGGTGCTGGGGGCTATATTTTTGTCGTTCCATATTTTCTTGAGCCTCTTTAGTGCTGTTGTAGTCTGCGCAATCCTGGACATCAGTTCGGGCTTGGAGCCTTCTTCTGAGACTATTGCTCCTAGGTATTTGAATCAAATAACTGTTTTTTTTAATACAGTGGAGAACATTCCACTACATGAGTTACATAATAAATATGATTTTGGGCAGATTCTATCAAAATTATAGTTAGATAAGCAATGGAAGTTTTAAAATGGGCATTGGTAAATAAAAACTGATTTAATGTTTAATATAATTAAGCATAAGCATTTTTTTTTTAAAGCAGCCCAGGCTCTCAATTTTTTAGATGGAAATACAACCGAATTCAGACAAATGCTCATCTTGACATAGCACTACTTAATTTAACATGTTTAAATGAAGCTAAAATGCATACCTGTTTATCTGAGATTACTGTAAACACTGACTCTCTAATAAGTTTAGCATGTTCATGATGCCTGAAAAACATTAAATTTAAAAACACATTTTTAAACTGATTAGCTCCAAGAGCCTTTTACTCTCTTAACTTGCTCTATGCTAAGGGGGTAATTGAAACCAATAACCAGAAATCCAATTATCATTTGACAGCCTTAATAGGAATAAATAATGTTCACATATTTACTTTTTTTTTTTTATTCCTCATTGAAAAATAACATTGTTGTTTTAAACTAAGTTAATGCAGTAGCTCTAATCAAGAGTTAACAGTAGTAAAAACATTACAGCCAACATAAATCTAAAACATCTTGACATTGTTTCCAAGAGACTAAAACTTACCCTAAGTAATCCAGCATTTCACAACTGGCAAAGAGTATTCCTGTGGGATTTGCAATGTTTTTACCTTTCATTGATCTGCCAGAGTTACGTGTTCCCTAAAAGTATTCATAATAATGATTTCATTTAAAATATATTAAAACTTCAAATGATCAGTTGCATTTTAATCATGAAAAATGATCTAAGCGGAGTTTTTTTTATAATGTATAATTTTATTTTTTAAAATTATATTACATATTCTTTGAAAGTATAATTTACACTGCAAATGTACTTACAGACTCAAATACAGCATATCTGTCTCCAATATTTATGCCCGCAGTCACTCCAGCCCCACCTATAAGTCCAGCTGCAATGTTGCTAAGAATATTGCCATATAAATTTGGCATGCACAACACATCAAACTGGCTTGGACGGGACACCATCTATGAGACATTAAAAATTTGAAAAATTGTTTAAATTTTGTTTTTTTTTGGGAGGCCTAAAGAATACTTATAAAAAAATTGATTAAGAGATTTGATACTTAAAACTCCTCAAGGTATCAATGAAATCCTTTAGTTCACTTTCTGTAATCTTTTGTCCCATTTTTATTTATAACTCTTCCTCTTTCACTCTTTATGTTCTTTTGCATAAGTTGTTTTCTTTAATTTTAGACTTCCCTTACACTTATATATTTCAGCTAATTATTTACATCTAAAACTATATGCTTCAAAAGTTTAATTACCTGCATACTAGCATTGTCAATAATTAAATCATTGAACTCAATGTCAGGGTAACCTTTGGCTATGTCTCTACAGACTTCCAGAAACAGCCCATCTCCCAGCTTCCTATAAATAGCAAAATTCATAATGCATTTTCAAAATGAATAGGATTATAAATTTGAAAACTCATTTGCTTAGGCAAAATAAAAAGTAATTTTTAATGAAGCAAAAACATTTTGAATTCAAAGAAACACATAAGTCCCCTATGATAATTGAAAAAATCAATACCCAGAAGTTTGTTATTAGGTGTTATGCTTTTGCAACATTAAATCTTGTTCAATAATTTTAATAGACTAGAAATGACCTGTCAAGATGACATTAATAGAATAATTTATTTTTAAATTTGGAAGATGCTTTTCACATTTCTCTAATTATTAAATAATTGTTTAGTGCAATAAGAATGAAATACAAAAATCTATTTTTCAAACTATTTAAACATATGGAAAAAAGTTGCTCCAACTATCAAAACCCAGGTGCCCAAGGGGGAACCGGACGAGCATTCTGACATTACACAAAAATACTGTAAAAAAATCAGAAATCAATAATTTATAATGCTATGTATTAAAGGAAAGCATTGATTTCCCACCATTTTTTATTGGAAAAGCTAAATAAAAATATGTAGCCATGCTGATATCACTCCCTATTGTGGCTTTGAGATTCCAGTAAGTGAAATATAATTTTATTACAATAAATAATAACAGTGGTTAATTTTTTTTTTTAAAGTGTCCTGTCTAATATCAACCAATCCCCCTTTGAAACTTAAATACATTTTTCTATCTAACTGCCCCACATTGGGAAACACTACACTACACTAAGCAGGCTTATAAACTGGCTTTTGAGCATCACCACCATAGGGTTTTGGTGGAAACTATAAAATGTACATAGCCTCAAAAGGGGGGGGGGGGGGGGGGAATTATCAGGGGTTAACCTAGAGAAGTGGTCGGCAAATCGCGGCTCGTGATATATAATATTTCATAATCTCAAATACAGAGTGTTATATAGAGCTTGTTTACATAATTTTTCTCGTGCGTGCACTCTGATTGACCCCGCTTGAGACGCTGTGTTCACAGATGGGTGTGGCTTAGTCTTTTGATCTGTCGTGTTGATGCCGACCGCCACTAAAAATAATTAATATGTTCTAAATAGTATTTTGTAGAATGATTGTGATTGTTCTAGAAATGCTGGGTAGCTTCTCGAAGGCAGGGCTTAGGCGTCGGTAGACCAACCTATATAAGGGATTGACAGGCTCGGAAGGAAGGAGATTCAGATAGATACTATTAAATTTACGAGGCGTGTATTATTCCTTGTGTATTATTCTTTGTGTATTTGTGTGCTCATACTCGTATGTGTTTATTTCGCATTTAATCATTATTCATTGGCACATTATACGAACTGTGTTAACTTTGAACTGGTACAAGATCTACCATACTGTAAGTTGAAGATTGTCATTATATTTTATTTTATTTTGTAATTATATTAAGACTTAATAAATCTTATTAATTGTAACTGGCAACTGTTTTGGGTGTCGTATCTTTAATATTGTTGACTCTATGGTATCGTCCTTTGTTAGGCACTGTTTACAACGAGCTAATTAAAATTAAAATAGGAGATTAATTTCTCCCAATACAAGTCAGTGCGTAACACAGAGACACTCCACTCACATAATATTAGCCTTATGGATTGCTGTCACCTTCTTTCGACCATGTTGAACAGCATAATCGAAAGCAAATTTTGCAATTTTCTTGCACTTTTCTGCCGTAATTATTTTCATACTCTCTACAACACCGGGCACAATCTGCAAGAATAATTTAATGTGTTTAGAATTGATCATTTATGAAATCAACATGGTATTCCTTGACAATGAATAGTTTTAAAAATTTTTTAAAATCCTAATCCGTGCTAGAGACCCTTCTGTCTGTAAATGGTGATTTTCCACTGCAGGAGTGGTGCACATTCCCTTATTTTTTTCCCATTTTATTTTACCCTCTTTATCTAAAAGCACAATGATACTCCTTCCATGGTGCTGAATTTGGGACCTTTATCACCCCATCCGATGCTTAGAATTATTTTATAGGGGAAAGAAATAGCTAATGTATAGCAAAAACAATATCCCTTCAATTAGTAAATGAACAAATATTTCCTACCTCATGTTCCAGCTGCCTATACTCTCCCTCTGTGTTTTCACGAATAAGTACACAGTCCACATCATTGTGCCTCACAGCAATGCCTGGAATAGACTTGCACTTCACAATACTAGCAAACAATTCCAGTGATGTTCTGAGAATAATAATTTCATAATTTAAAAACAAAAAGAAAACCAAGTTTCTAAGTCTATCTAAATTATCTTAACAAAACATAGTTTTAATGGAAAAAACATTATGCAGAGCAAATTGATTGACTATGTGGAATAAATTCAATGATTAGGGGCCATCGATAAAAAGGTCAAACTTTGTATACATTACAAATAGCCAAATAAAATAAAAATATGTGGATTGAGTTTTTGTCACTAAATCTTAAACAATGTAACACGTAACATATACCATATAATATTACCATACTACAAAATATAACAAAGAGATTAAAATTTGAGACAATAGATTATAACCTCAAAGCCAAGTTCATTGATTTGAAGGACGGATCATCAAATTTAGTCTCAATGTTTCCTATAGAAAAAACAAAATAAGAGATATATGAAATAACTTGCTTTGTCACCTGGCTAATGTACTTATTTTGATTAGCTACCAGGAAATTTAACAAAATAAGAAAAAAAAAGGTTGAAAAAAATTAAATAATGGTCATTGGATCCTCTTCCACTTGCTCATTTACTGCTTTAGAGAAATAAGGGGCAGTTAGTTTTTTTATACTAAAATTTGTTCATATTATTGTTTCAAATTGACTCAATGCTTGTTTTCCTTAATCCAAAGTCTGTACATCATTACGCTTTCAAAGTTTGAAACAGTTGCTTGGTCATGTGGGTGGGGAGATGGGCAGAGTCAAGAATGTATGTACGCAATCCTTTGGGAACAAACATTTTTTGTGGGTATATTTGTTAAGTGAAATGTAGTGTTAGATACTAAAAATAATACATAATATTCCTTAAGATTTTTTTTGCTCTACCAAAGCCACTTCTTTTCTCTCATACAGTCTATACAGAATTAATAAGAGAAGAATTAAATACCTTTGAGAGCAACACCATTCCTCTTAACAGCAAGTAAAGCATGCTCCATGTCAATTGGAGTATTTTTAGATGCATTGATCTCCACCACTTCAAAGTCAATGGGAGCACCAGCATATCTATAAAAAACAGAGATATGCAGAAATTTTACCAACATTACTATAAAAGCTGAATGAGAAATACCCTGAAAAATGCTAAAATGAGAAATTCCATGAGAAATGCTAAATGAGAAATGCCGCTATGAAAAAGGCTAGATTATCTTTAGAAATGGTGGCGAATTGGCCTTATTAAAATTACTTTTAAGGAAAATGCAAAGAAATGGGTAAATAATTTGTTAAAGACAACATGTAACTTGCATCTTTATTTTTTTAAGATACCTGAAAATTTCCTGGACATGAGACAACAATTCTGGGCCTACACCATCACCTGTCATCAGAGTCACAGTATGTCGTCCTCCATACTTGGCTAAAGCCTCACCCTATATATAATTTTATTCAAACATGAATAGTGTTGTGTACAAATTTAAAGTATGTTGGTAAAGAGTGAATAAAATAACACTGTAATATTAATATTATCAACTTTGTACAATTTGATAAAATTATAGGGAGACTGTCACATGACTACAGATGTCAGTCTTATAATTGACAACCAATGAAAAACTTGGTAGCTGATTATTTGTCAAAATAAAAAATAGGTATTAAAGTGAGCAATAAAAACCAGAAGAAAGTCAGTAACAATCAATGACTCAACAAATATAATCCTTTTTATTTATACACACTTTGATCAACAAACATTTAAATGTATATCAATTCAATAACAGATAAGTGATCATTCTTTGGAACCCAAGTTAAGGAGGCAGCTATATAAAAAAAAATATTCATTAAAAATGTAGTAATTAGCAAAATTTTGAACAAAAATTCTTAGAAAGTTCCCCAACCCTTCATGCAATAACTACAAAGACAAAGATCAACGCAATGTCCTTTGTTCATTTAAAAAAATAAAAACTACATAAAATTTAATTTAGTAGACACTGAGTTTCATTTCCAGGATTTTCACACTATAAATATATGAACAATAATAATTGTTAAAAACAGATAGCCGTAATACGCCTAGCACAAACTTTATAGAACAGAACAGCACTCAACTCACTGACAAGGACAATGGACGTTTAAAAAAAAAAAAAAAGAACTTTCAAAAAGTCACAGTATTATTCAGGAAACGCAGGGTAATTGCATTTAACTAATAATTATTAACTACATGAGACATATAATTTACCTTCACAAGGTCAAACTGTGCAGCAAACGAGTTTTTCCTACTTTGTTGATAAACTGCTAAACATTTTGTTTCATTCAAAGCAGAATTCTAATGATACAATAAAAATTACATTTAATAAGAATTTTGAGTTTATTATTATACACAAACTATTCAAATAGCCTTTTAATTTTATTTTCGAGTATGTTAAAGTTTTTAAAGATTTACCTGAAACAGTACATTTGTCCTTCTTGCTAAATTTTGACCGATAAATATCCTCAAGTTTGCTGCCATCTTGAATACAATTGGGGAAACCGAAAGTTACGGCAACTAATTACTTCGTCTTTTAAAATAAAACATTAAATTGGTCTGGACTTCTGAGCGCGCAAAATAAGATTCCCCCAGCCACGTTTTATTCGATCCTAGTATTATTGAATGCGCCTCAACTAAGTTAACAGAACTCAATTTATTTATACTTTTAGTGTATTATTATGATTATAAATTTATGTTTTTTAAATAAGTTCTTTTTAAAAACTAGTGACCAGTTAGTATAAGCCTTTTGTATTAAAAGGTAGTTTGGGGTCAGAAAAATCATAATTTCTCCACGAAAATTGACGTATGGCTTACATATGGATTGATAGGGTGTTCATTTTTTTAAAAAATTAAATAAAGTTGTTCGAAACATGTTTACCTATGAGATCGTTTAGTTTTCAGAACCGGTTCACTGATAAAGTAAGATGCAATACTCAGTGGCACAGGAAGGGAGAGGTGGTGGAGCGGTACGCCCCGATCAGCACTTTTTTCTTTATAGCTAGGGGCATGGGCGCCTGCAGTATGGGCCAATGTGGGTCACATGACACCCCCCCCCCCTTACCGGAAAATAAATTCAATATAAAATAAATATTAATATTTGATCTTTGTCCCTATGACTATAAAATAGTTTATTTAAAAATATTATTTTTTTAATTATTTTTTTTAATAGTTAAAAAAGTTTTACACTTAAATCTTATAATGCAGAATCAATTCAAAGGTTGCTAAAGACTTAAATATCATTGTTTATGGAAGTATAAATATGATTATTGTCGGTATAGCTAAAATTATAGTACAGTTTCTTGCTGCTATTATCTTCCCGTGGAGTAGCCAGGTGTTGCTTTATCGTAACAATGGGCATCAGGGACATCATTGGGGTATGACTTCTCTTGCACTAGACAAAGGGAGCTAACATTCTGACCAGCCATCTGCAGCGCACATTAATATTAAATAAATCTTATATTATTACAATCCTAAAAGTTATATAACTATCTACACGCATTAATTTTTTTTAAATAATGTAGTAACCAGTCAATTTTTAAGATTAAGATGTTAATAGAGAAAACTAACTCCCCCCACCCTGTCAACAACTGTCAAACTACTCAAACATTTCCAAATTCCCCCCCCCCAATGACGTAATTAATGGAGGCCCCCTAATTATGTAGTGGTTTATACAGTAAACCGTCGGTGAATCTTCAGCGTGATCTACACCAGAACTGATAATGAATGACTTAAGATAGACAATAATTAACGCGCGGCTAAGAAATCTTACTTCTAAAGCAGGCGACATGGCGAAGCCATCAACGAAAAATAGTACTAAAGGCTAAAGAATTTTAAAATGAGTTTCTTCCCTTCAGTAATAACCGTGGTCAAAAATTAATTTCAAACTTCCCAAACCAGTGCTTTCTCTTTGTGGTTTTTTGTTTCTATTTTTTTCTTATCCCCCCCCCCCATTAGGCACACATTCTAGTTACGTTACTGTAATACTGTAATCAAACAACGTTCACCTTCGCTCAGTTCCAAATTTTTTTTAAAAAATGACCGTTAATGTTTTCCCTTCAGTAATAACCGTGGTCAAAAATTAATTTCAAACTTCCCAAACCAGTTCTTTCTCTTTGTGGTTTTTTGTTTCTATTTTTTTCTTATCCCCCCCCCCCATTAGGCACACATTCTAGTTACGTTACTGTAATACTGTAATCAAACAACGTTCACCATCGCTCAGTTCCAAATTTTTTTTAAAAAATGACCGTTAATGTTTAGTCCTGCGACTTACTTTGCTGTTTTATCAACATGACTATCAAGGAATGAATGGAAAATTTTAGTTAAAAAAAACAAAAAGTGCACATTTATCCATTCTTTGGCTTGACAAAATTGCGTTCAAAGTCTGGTTGAGCGACTACCGACAACATAATAGGATGAAATCAAGAGGATTAACTGGGCAATAGGATTTTCTGGGTGTGTCCTTAGTACAATCTGACACAAAGAAGGGAATGTACATCATTATAGGAGATAGTTGGGAGATCTAGAAAACAGAACATTGGTATGGAAAATCAAGGGGGAGAAAGTCAGATGGCTTTATATCTAAAGATACCCTTGATAAAAACAATAATTTAAGCTGAACAATTTACGGATTCCACTTGAAAATGTAATGCCACTGAAATGAATACTATGAATTGAAGTTCAAAAGTAAACATGTTAAGCTTAGGTGAGCTAACGTAATCTACAAATGAATGGACGTAAAATAATCTTCAAATTCACAGTAGAACTTTTCAAAAAAAATAAAAAGACATGTTTTTTAAATGGTAAAGAAAATGTTTATTACTCATCATTGTAAAACTATACATTTACAAAACACAAAAAGAACAAGCTACCTAAGACAACACAACAAAATATATGAAAAGCTACCTAAGCGAGTTTTTTAGGCATTCAAGAATACACCACTATACGAATACTGACAGGTGTGAAAGTAAATTTTAATCATTTTTAAATAGATATTCCAAAAGTAACATCAGTCTCCAAGTAGCGAAATGATGATTCCGCTGGAAAAATTCTTGCCTTTCAGCAAATTGGTCATAAAAATTTCTGAATAACTTCTATGGAGAGTAATTTTGACTACCTAGACATTACTGCCACACAAAATCAAAACAAATATTTTGGTATCATTTTCTTTATCACATTTTTTTTCCATTGGTATAAAAAATATTTAAAACGAGGAGAGACAATTGAATAGATTTTTAAAATGCATTTCTTCATTTGATGCAGCACTATAATTTGAAAAAATAACAAATGCAATAAGCTTTGTTAGAAAGTTCTATTTTTTAAATAGTTTTTCTTTCCCTGGAAATTTTCTGCAAGATAAATAATATTAATATATGCTTGTACATTTGTTATCCGCTGAAAACCATTGATTTAGAATTCATGGATGCTCATGTAGAGCTTAATTAAACTATATACATACTGTAAACATCTAATTGCAGCTTTTGCTTTACTGGACAATGATAAAACAAGCTATCAATTTTTAAAAAATAATCCCAGCTCATCAGTAGCTCCATCAGATTCCTCAATGAGCACATAACATTGATCTTTGGGTGAATTATTTGGGTGTTGGTCAGTCACAGGAAAACAAACCTGGTACAAATTCGGGATGTCTTTTGGTTTATCTCTTTGCCACCAATAGGGGCAAGATTAAGGTAGTTCAGAGCCCATGGCTATTTATGCAATTTCTTTCTCTCTTTCTCTCTCTCTATATGTATATATATATGCCTGTGATACAGAGAAAACAATACATGGAAGCCTCTTAAGCCTGGGTCTGGAGTCTATTAACCCTTTGGGGTACTGGTAATAATGCCAGCCTTATCCATACACCAACTTTTGAAACGTTCATTTTGTAAACAATAATTTTTTTTTTAAATATTTCTATTCTCCTACTCACAAAAAGGGAAATAAAAATCCTGCATATGATGTTTGCTGCATAGCACACTATCATTATCAATTACATTTAAAAAATAGTAGCTGTTTAATTCCCACAAAAATTTCACCTGGTATCGCTCATTTTAAATTAATTCTTGATTTTGGAAAAAAATTCCAGTATTTTCTATATAGGGATCTTCAAATCGTCCAAATAATTAATATCTAAATATATATTTAGAGAGATTTTTAAAGTGATTTTTCTAACCTTATCAACTGCAGCATTTAAGAATTAGTTCTACAGTAACTGCCTCTTACCAGCACCCATTTGATTTGCAGTTAGGAGTACCAGTCTTCTTTAGAAAGACTATCCTTAATGCTCTTGGCCAGCAGTGGAAGAAAAGCATGACAAAGAAAGCAAAGCATTTATATATACACACACAGAAGTGTTGAAACTATTAATTATAGCACATTAAAATAAAACACAAACGCTATTCAAGTGCACAAAATTATTTTTAGGGTTGTTACTATAGGAAAATATATAGTTACATGAGCACAAGAGTCACAAGGCATATATTAAGAGGCAGAAATAAATTTACAGGGAAAATGTTATTTTATCTTTGTTAAAAAGATTTACCGGCAACAAAAAAAAACAAATTTTAATTGCTAATATATACTAAATTGTAATAATAGCTATAAGCCACAATTAGAATAATAAAAAGAAAGCAAATTCCTCGAATATGAGCTTTACCATAAGACTTTAAACTAATATAGAGTTTAAAAGATTTAAAAAATAGTCAACATTGTTTCAAATTCTATTGAACAAACATTAAAATATTCATTAATGAGGCCGAGCACATTCACAACAATTAGGCTAAACGACTAATTTACAACGCTTACCATAGAAGCAATAGAAATTCTTTATTTCATCAAATACACATTAGTTGGGGAGTTCATGAGGGAAAAAGGTTATGCCCTGATACTGATAAGCATAGCAAACATATTATTATTATTAACAGATAATTTATTTCCTTTGTTCCATTGACTAGCTGTGGCAGTTATTCTATAAAATCCTAAAATGGGAACTACATCAGTTTAGTATTTTAAAAAAAATAAATTTAATGAATTCAATACAATTCTATTATATTCTAAAGAAATTATACCAAGATTTTTCCCCTTTGCTGCACAGTAAATCTGCCCAGCATCAAGAAAGGTAAAATAAAGTTTTGTACACATTATTTACACTCCTCCAAAAACATACAAAACAAGGAATGATTTGGGAAAAAAATGTAATTGGGAAACAGCATAATCAAATGTTTTCAAGACGATGAAGTATTTGAACTTTACCTCACATGTTTATGGGACCTCATAAACATTTATTTATATTATAAACCAGAGATTGGTCACATATTATTGTAAGCTGGGCCAATATATTTTAAAGAAGAACAACTGCAGATTTGAGTCAATGTTACACTTGTTAGAGCAAGTTGCTGGGACTTAACAAAAAACTGCTGGGACAAACAGTTTTGGCTGTGGGAAAACAAATATCAATTTCTGGTATGAAATGTCATATCAACTATTGCACATAGTTCATGATAAATGCACATTTATTTTATTTTTTGTGGGGGTCGTGTTAAATAAAAGCCTGAGATATTTACTGTGAGATATGGAAAATGCCTGTTTGTTATTAACATGCTCCAAAGAATAAAATAAACAGCACTCATTTGATGTGAACATCTTCAATTCCTATTAATAATTTAAATTTAAAAGGGTTGAACTAGCTTTCAAACAACAAAATCTTCATAATTCAGTAGAGAAGTTTAAAAAACCGTTATTGAAAAGCAATATGTAATATAATTAATTACATGTATATTTGTTTTTACAAAAATATCCTTTTCATCCTAGAAAATAGCATGCACACAGTTCATAAATCCTTTCAGTTATCTTATTTAAAGAAAAAAAAGTACCAATATTGCATCATGGCAACATTCATGTAGGCATCAACAACAGCAATCACTCATCAGGAAATGCATGTAATCAAATAATCATTTACACAAAACTTAAAGCAATGCTCCTCAGTTATCCTCCAACAGTCATGTCAAAAGTATGTTGGTCCCCTTATCGTCCTGATTTTGAGTGTTGAATTAGCCATTGAAGGGTAATATCTGATAATGAAGAAAATACATATTAATAAATTTGAGATTTTGAACTTCCAAATTTATACAGTATATTAAAAACATTTGTATTGAATAATAATAATAATATTTAATAATAAATCAATAATAATTAATTTACAAACAAGATTCTTGAAATTTCCAATACAAAAAAGTTTAATTTTGGTATCATTTTGTAAAAACAAACCATTATTACTTTCAAAACTAATAATTAAGAATTAAATTTCTTACGAAAGTATGAAAAACTTAGATTGGATATTAAAATGCTTCAAGTGCAATAGTATTATGTTCTCTTCAAGATTTAATTATAAGGTGTCTATTAAAAAAAGAAACCAAAGTTACCTCTATTTATAAAGAGTACTTAAAATATAAAAAGAGGTTGTATAATTATTTTTTCTTTTTGTACCCACCTATATTTTCCTTTTCCTTACAAGATATAGAGTAGCAACAAATTTCTCTATCTTGAATTGCAGAAAGATTCCTAGAATAAATAAAATTATATTTTAATCATGTAGAAAAAACTGAAACCCTAGTAACTTTGGTCAGTGCTTTTAAATCAGTGTACAAGAATTGTGTGCCTCACTAAATTTGATATATTTAAAATGAAATAGTTTTCTTTCAGAATCCGTAAATGGGAGATCATTCAAACTTTGAAAGATAAAAAATTTCAGTTGTCTACAATAAGCGTAAAATAAAATTTTGCTTAATTATTTCAAAACTGATACACAACATGTCAAGTGTAAAAAAAGGAAGGATTTAAAAAGAGGACCACATATTTTTGTTTAATTGTAAGATAAAAACAACACTCACTCAGGACACAAATTCAAATTTATGTAATTTAAGATTTATAATCATCAAGAATATGTTTTTATGTGCAGGATGTTTTTTAATAAAAATAATAAGTAACAAATTAATATCACAAATAATAAATTTAGAAAATTTTCACCCAAAAAAATATTCTTAAGCGCTAAAAGCTGTTCAATCAACCCAACAGCCTAAGGGGTTATGGAACTTAATGTCATCAAAGTATTTGACTAGAAATTCCAAACTTACATTCTTTCAATGAGCTCTTTCTCATCAAGTGCACCTGGAAGATCACGTTTGTTACCTAGTACTAATACAGGAATGCCTTGTAGCTGGGGTTTGTCTAAGAGGTTGTGAAGTTCATTGCGAGAAGCCTCTAATTTGTCCTGATCAGCCGCATCAACCATATAACTGAAATTTATACAAAAAATGCTAACAAATTTAAAATTTCAATCTATCATTAAATGGGTTTGCATTTCAAATTGCAAACACTAAGGGAAAAATTGTACAAAGTTAATGATTACTACTTCTATTGAAAATGCAGTGGTTCTTCGTATAACAAACCTAGTGAGTTCTCAGATGAGGTTGATTGTGTTAAAAAATTTAAGACATGATAAATTCATGAAACTTAACAAGAAAAAAAACAATTAAAAAAAAAAACATGAATTCAATTAATGTTTCACAGCCCTGTTTACCCCCAAAAATATGCAATATTTTAAGGAACTGCACACACATATTTAGTTTATAATTTATGGTGCAGGACATAGTTCCTTAGGTGAGAAAAACCCCATGTTTGTCATGCTGGTTGTTCTTGCTGTTGGAAGGCATGGCACAACTGTGGATGATTTTAAAATTTTTTAAATTACTTACACTATTGCATTAACACCTCTGCAATACCGTTCCCACATACTTCTAAAACGTGGCTGTCCTCCAATATCCCATAGCTGCAAAGAAAAAAAAAATATTTGTAAGAAATTATAAATATTTTTTTGTTAAAGTTAAAGAAAAGATAGTTCATAAATTTGTTTGTTGAAAAAAAATATATATATATTAATTACTTTGACAAGTGTTCACTTTTTTTTTCAATAGTGATATTTATGGAGGAAAAAAAATTTAAATATGGAGAAAAAAATGAATATGCAGTTTAGGATATTTAATTTCAACCTTCAGGTCATACATTTTTACAAAAAAGAACCATTGCTTTTCAAATTTAATTTTTTAAAAATACCTTGATTGTGACATTGCCTTTGGATATTTTCCTCATATTGAAGCCGACTGTGGGGATCATGTCTTCACTAAACTGACCTGACTGTTATTATATAGAGGATATAGTTTAAAATTCTGTTAACAATAATACTACAACATCAAAGACTAATAATTTTTTTTTAAACTTCTGATACCTGGTAACTCAAAACATTAAATATTAAATTCACTACTATTTTTATATAAGTTTAATGGTTAAGCTTAAGCACATAAGTATCGGGGATTTTTTTAAAAAAATTATCTTTCTTAAATGATTTTTAAAGAAAAATAATTTCATTTGGTGAAAATGAACAACTGGTTATCAGTTTTTAGACAAAGTTTATCTGTTTACCTTCTAACTTGACTCTTTTTATTTTGTCATAAACTTATTCTACTGGCAATTTTAATGAAAGAAACATACAATTTCAGTCAAGTTAAGATCTGAAGGCATAAAACCATTCTTTATTTTTGTTTTGTTACCAGTACAATGCTAAGAAGTGGCTAAGACAAACAACGTTACTACTACTGCATTGTACATTTCTGGATTACAAAATATGAGTCTGGATTATCAAAGTGTGGAGTTTCTGTTGTAACAGCTATATTTGAAGCTTTTCAAGCAAGATTCTCCTAACTACCACTGGAGAAACATATAGGAATCATTCCAAAATTTACACGAGGTTTATTTACTGAGAGAAACAACAATAAAAAAATTTCACAAGTATCACTTGGTGAGAACCAATTTAAATAAAAGATAAACTCAGAATCCATAACCTGCAGACTAGGAAAATTCTGATTTAGTTAAGATATGCAAGTAACAGTAAAAAAACAACAACTGTATAGTGATACTTAACAAACATACATAATATACTATAATTTATGAGTATACTAAATACTAGTGTAAACTCTCTCTCTCCCCCCCCCCACCCCCACCCCCCCCCACCCCCCCACTTTCAATACAATACTGTCCATAGAAACAGCAAATGCTGATGTCAAGTTTTTAGTTGTTTTTTGGGTAATACTAATGTTGTAGCTCAGCCTAGACACTTATCCTGCCCAAAGTCATTATTTGTAAGTAATAAATTATAAGTAAAAATAGTAGAATAATTATATTTATAGACAAAGACTTAGCAGAGTGGCTTCTTCCAGTCCTTATTCTGACTGAAGTCATAAACCTATTATTACTAATTACTTTTAAATACCTAGTCCTATATATTTATACAATGAACAGTACCAGAAGGAAATAGTATAATAAGAAGAGGAATGCGATCAGGTTGAAGCTATAAGAAATATAAATCACAGGGCATGGGAAAACCTAAAAGAGCATGAAACAAAATAACAAACAAAGAAATTATGAGTGAACTTCTATTTAGACAAGATAACAATACAAGTTACATAAGTACAAGAAAACATAAGTAATGACTCTTTGTGATCTGGTTCAGTTGGTGCTCCATTAGGATAAAACAGGAGGAGACCCAGTGTGATACCAACACAGTTCTGAGTGTTGCCACAGTGTACTTCACTTACTGTGCAGCTAAAGTTAAATTAGATAAATAATTGATACTGTTGTCATGTCACTTGTCATGGATAATTTAGTTTTGTAATGCTAATAAAAGAAATAAGTATTCCCTTTTTAACATTTTATTTTATCAATCAATAAAAAACAAATATTTTTAGTGGAAAACTGTTGTTAAAACATGATGTGTAGATTGTTGTGTCTGTTTAGTTTTAGCCGTCCAAATCAGCAGTTCTCAACATGGGCCATATTTTTGGGGGCCACGGAAAAAAACAACATTCACTTTTACAATAAAAATGCAGAATTAGCTTAGTAACCATTATTGAACTCATTATATATTTCAAGTTATGAGATTAAACAATGTATGTTTTTCACATAAGAAGGCTACACTCAATAAAACATTTGAAGAAATTTAGTGTCTTGAAACGTGTACTATAATTTTAATGGAAAAATCTCGGGGGCGCTGCCACGACCTCTGCTCCCCACAGGCTACACCACTACAGGGCCTTGGCCTAATATAAATTAGGCCCTTGTATGTAACCTATACATAGTTATTCATATAAGTAAGCCTAAATGGCCTAAGTTACATTTTGGCTTAGGCCTAATTTAGCCCGGACATAACCCTAATATAATTTATAAAAGTAAAGGAAATTCAATGACAGATTGTTTTACATTAATAATGTCATTACTATTGAACTGTTCGTGATGATTTAGTGTTCTTGTAGGCCTAACTTAAGTATTGAATATCAATGTCACTGTATTGTTACACAAGCCAGACAAGTTGTTACTGTTACTAGTGTTACCAACAAGTTGGGATCTTCTTCTGATTCCAAGACATCACTTAAGTTATTGTTGAGTTAAGAAAGAAAATGGGTCTAATTATTAGTAATAGACAATTCAATAAGTCAAGTAAAAATTCCATTCCTTTCAATTGCTTAGACGTAGAAATGGTTTTAGAGAGTAAAATCAGTATCAATTTCTATCAGTAATTTAGTAATTTAATGAGTAATGTCCTTTTCCTGTGGGGTTTTATAGTTTACTTAAACTTAAACTACTTAAACCTACTTTCTATTTCGTTCTTCTAAGCTTCATTTGTCAAAGTAAAATAATAATGATTAATAATGTTAGTTATATAATTATAATAATTAAAGTTAAATCTTGGTAATGAATGATTCAGGTAATGGCAATAATAACATACATGAATCATACATTTTTTTATTTAGGATTTAAGCCTACCCCTGCCCCTACACTTACATAAATTTAATATTTAAAATTGTTTCGTTCATCAGACATTGAATGGGGGAAGACATAACAATAAAAAAAAAGTTTCTATAGATCTTTATATCAAAACAAGTTGTCATTCAATCGACAAGTCTGACGTCAGGTGGAATATTAATTTAATAAATAGGCCTCGTAGCCGTAGCCTGGTAGTAGTCGTCGTCGTAGTATTTATAATTTTCGATTTCATCCAGTTAAACTTACGGCAATAACATTAACGAACGTTGTCTTTCCTGAATATTGTAGCCCAACTAGAGTCAATTCCATTTCTTCTTTCCAAAATAAACTCTTAAACCAATCTAAAATTCTTTGGAAGAAAGAAAACATGATTGTGGTAAATAAACGTCCGAAAATCTTCGATAGAGACAAAAATTTTCTCTCTACGCCTCTAAAACAGGAAGGACTAAACAGACAATCATGTGACTGGTAGTCATGAGGTCAAGGCTATTTTAAAAAAGATACGTTTTTAAGACAAAGAATTAATTAATTTTGCATAACAGATTTTATGAGCTGTCTACTTCTGTTAATAGTTACATATTTTGAAAATCAAATAGGTTACACATTTTTTGTTCATGATCGCTTTCAGAATAAATAATATTAAAATCAATGGGTTTTTTTTAAACAACAAAAACTGAACTAGTACAAAAACAGTCATTTTCAAATCGACTTTCTCTACTTTATTTATTTTAATTACTAGTAAATTTAATAAATATTTTGTCTTAAAATATATTATTATGCATTTTTGTGTGCCCTCTTCTCTAATCAAACACTTTTTAAAAAATATAGTCTATAGACTAAACGTCTATTGCCAGCCCCCACTCTTCCCCCCCCCCCCGACATGCAAACGCACCTGAAATATATTAATATCCTAATGGCCCACTCACTTTCACACCGCAGATTTATGTCACCGGTTATTTCATATAAACTAAAGAAAATATTACGCACCAAACGCCTTTGCGATATTTTTAAAATATTATTTTTAAAGAATCTCTTTAGTGCAGTAATCGGGAATTTGATTTCGTGAAATCAGTGGCATCATATTTCATTCATCTACCTCTCGAAAAACAGGGAAAAAAAAGATTTTTGGGGGTTTGGGATGGGGCTGAAAATTCGAAAGAATGTGTTGTCATCGGTAACGAGTCCATGCACCAAGTTTCAACTCCATATGTTGACGGGAAGTGGGTCAATTCACTGTCCAAATATTTTGCCAGCCACGAACAAAAGCGAACTTAACTTAATAGAAAGGATTTTAAAATAGTCTATAATGAAGGGCGGCTTTTTCCGAGTAGGAAGGGTGTGGGGTTGTCCTCCTGGAGATATCACCCATAATAACATAAAATGAGAATTGTATTTCTCTTAAAACGTTAGTAGGCAGATTGAATACGTCAGACACAATTTTATACCCCCCCCCCCCCCCACACACACACCCTAAAGTTCAAACTATAACTATAAATTTCCGGACTAAAAGTGACCGGGGACAGGTGTAATCCATTTCCCGACTCAGAGGCGTCACCAGGTTTGGTGTCACCGGTGCTATAAATTCATGGTGTCACCACCACCGTTTAATTAAACTAGATCATACAGCATCGCAAAGTATTGTTTGTACATTAAGTCCCAAAGCAACAAAAGACATGATAAGAAGAGATCGAATTTGAGATAAGNATAAGCCCCCCCCCCCCCCAAAAAAAAAGATATCCGACTTACCCTCACACCGGCGCACTTGCGTATGAAGGGGGAGAAGATGGGGAGTGGGGCGGCCCGCTCCGGCTAGCACTTTTTTTTTCTAAATAGGCCTTTAGCAAGCAGCTGTTGTGACCAATTTTAACGGTTTTTTTTTTATTTTATTATTATTATTTTATTTTTTTTTTGGTGGTGGGACTAAAATCTTGGGCCGCCCTGCGGCACTAACCCTAAATACTCCTCTGCCTACATGTTGGAGATAAGCTTTGTTTCGCCTTACAGTTTTATATTCAATTCGTTCCACATGTATGTTCAAATCTGCAGGAACAAAGCCTATTTCCAAAGCTATTCACTGCTTGAACTTGTAAATAAAAAATTAGGCCCTTTCTTGATTGAGGTCATGGGAGCGAAACTTATTCATACTTGAATTAACAGGTTCAATAACAATCTTACATAGGATAAATCCAGATATTTTCCACACACCGCCTGTTGATGCTATGAATAAGAACCATATCAATTACCATTGATACAGCCAAGACGCTGAACGTATCTTTTAAATTTACTAAACTAAGCCATTCCCACCCGTTTTTACCACCGTCTGTTGTGTGTGACACGGTACGATTTCCTCCTATCCGAATTCTACTGAGCAATGGATTTGTCTAGTTAGTTATGACAGTTATTCCTTTTACCTTTACCCTGCCTACGGCATAGACCATATAGAAAACGTTCTCTGTTCATCTGGGCTATGTGGCTTTTTTTTTCCAGTTGGCTTCAGATGTAAGCCTATCCCATTCTTTGTCTGCCTCTAACTCGCGTGTAACTCTCCACATATTCTTTGGCCTTCCTTATTACCTTTTCCATGTGGGTCCCATGGGATTGTCCCTCCCCATGATAAATTCAGATGAATTTTTGAAAATACCTGAATTCAGTTTTGTATCATTTTAAACGTACTTAATCGGAGAACAACTCAAAATATTGTTTCAATTTCATAGGTAGGCCTATTTACAATTTTAGCAGTTTATGGATTTTTTTTTTCTGTGTATTTTTGTGGTGCCCACTTCTCCTAATGCCATAAGCCCATGCTTACATTGCTGATTACATCGGTCCTGGTGGTATCTTGGTTGGTGCATGATCATACTATAAAATTGATCCACAGAATCCACAATGTTTTCACTTCCCGGTTCTCATACATTTTTAACCAATCTCCCTAAAGAAATGTTGGGGAGGGAGGGGGTGGATAAAACACCATTTTGGTCTCTGGAGGTACGAGTTGAAATGGGGGATCAAGACACTTTTTTAACAAAGAAAATTGAAATGGTGGCATTTGGTGATAATATTGAACTAATTTTAGAAATAACATGGGGTGTATTATGTGTTCAAATATTTTAAAACATGTGTATTTTTACTTAATTTTTACATTTCAAAATAAAATATCTGCATTCTCATATTTTTCTTAGAAACTTGATTTTTTTTTCAAGTAGGTAGCTCTAGTGTGTGCTCGAAAATCGAGGGTGCCGAAGTCCCCCGAATGAAATTTGGAGTCCCTCTAGAGCACCCCTCCTCAGAAAATTTTTGATCAGTTCAAAATGTGGGGATGCATTTAAAAAAAAAAAATTTTGGCAGCATTTAAAATTTAATAGACATAGGAGAGCAATAAAAGAGATGCTAAAAAGGGGGGGGGGGGGGGGGTTGCAAAATTTAAAAGATGCTAAAAAGGGGGGGGGGAGGGTTGCAAAATTTAAACTGCCTCATGATGTCTTAGTCAGACACTGCACGGGACTATCTAATCTTTCTATTCTAATACAGAAACAATATCTTACAAAATGTGTCAATGAAATCTAGACAGCATTTCACACCGGCGGGACAAAGTTGCTGAACCGGGAAGAATCTACTAAAATTGGGTTGTACGAAGTGGTGATCCTACCCTACTGCCTACTATAATGAATTTGTTAAGTTTAGGCATGATACTTCTGAATTAGGGGCCATCCATAAAATGATGTCACGCAAATTTTTCCGATTTTTTACTCCCCCCCTCCCCCCCCAAAAAAAATCGTCACAGATCGTCACAAAAAGTTAGGATCCCCCCCCTCAAAATAAAGTCACAAATCTCTGCAATCTCCCCCCGGTATAAAAAACTCCCTGTGTCCACTACTGTCCTTTACAAACCCTTAAGAAATTCACCTCCCATGGATATCAAATTACCGAAGCTGTGTCAGAAACAGAAACATTTTACTAGAACAGTGGTTCTTAACCAGGGGTAAAAGTACCTCCACAGTAGAGACCGACCGAAATTGATTTTCTGTTTTCGACCGAAGCCTAAAATAGGCCGAAAGTTTAAAAATAACTTTCGGCTGAAAACCGAAAAAGGCCGAAAGTTAAAAATGACTTTCGGCCGAAACCGAAAATGAAATAATTAGATATTTTGAAATTCGTCCCCGCATACATTCTGCATACATCGAAAATGATGGGGGGAAGTACAAATATTTACATTATTTTTATAAAAAATGAGATAATCGAGACTATTAATAATAAATAAATATCTAATATAACATCTTGTTCTTAAAGATCGCTTAGTTTGTTGTTAAAGCTCGTTCAGTTTTTTTTGTTAATGATCGCTTTATTTGTTCTTAAAGATCGGTTAGTTTGTTCATGAAGATCGCTTAGTTTTTTGTTAAAAATCACTTAGTTTGTTGTTAAAAATCGTTTATTTTGTTTTTTAAGATCGCTTAGTTTGTTCTTAAAGATCGCTTAGTTTTTGTTTAAGATCTTTTAGTTTGTTATTAAAGATAATTTCCTCCTCATCCTCATGTCCCTTAGTCCTTGGACCGTTGGGGCGCCACAGATGACATGTGAACCATTCTATTTTTTAGTTTGTCCAAAAAAGATCGCTAAGTTTTTTCTTAAAGATCGCTTAGTTTATGTTATTAAAAGATCGTTTAGTTTGTTCAAAAAGATCGCTAAGTTTGTTCTTAAAGATCATTCATTTTGTTCTTAAATATCGCTTAGTTATTCTTAAAGATCATTTAGTTTGTTTGTATAGATCTTTTAGTTTGTTATTAAAAATCGTTTAGTTTGTTCTTAAAGATCACTTATTTTGTTCTTGAAGATCGCTTAGTTTTTTCATAACGATCGCTTAGTTTTTTCTTATAGATAATTGGTTTTGTTTCTTAAGATAGATTAGTTTGTTCTTAAAAATCTTTTAGTTTGTTCCTAAAAACATTTAGTTTTCTGTTAAAGACCGCTTAGTTTATTCTTATAAATCATTTAGTTTACTATTAAAGATCATTTGTTTTGTTCTCAAAGATCATTTAGTTCGTTCTTAAAAATCGCTTAGTTTGTTGTGAAAATATCGTTTTTGCTGAGAATTAGATGACCGAAAACCTCAGTCACTTTCGGCCAGATGGCCGAAAGTCTAAGTCAATTTTGGCAGAAACCGAAAAAAAAAAAATTAACTTTTCTCTTTCGGCCGAAAAAGAAATGAAGCCGAAAAAGAAAATTAACTTTCAGTTTCGACCAAAACCGAAACTTGGTCGAAAGTGATAAAATGGCCACTTTCGGCGCCGAAACCGAAGCCGAAATTCCACAGTCTCTACTCCACAGCCCTGGGATGAACATTACATGCTACCGTGCTAGTTGCTTTTTTTTTTTTAAAAATCATTTTGTAGCAGCAGTAAATGTTTTCTGGTGAATTTTGTTTGCGCACTACTTGTATTGGTAATTTTTTTACGTCTTTATAAAAAGTTAATTAAAGCAATAAAACTATGATAAATAAATTAATAAACTAAATTCATATTTTAAATTCGCTAAATGGTGATTGTGGATACCATGATTGGCCGCCATCTTGATTGAGAAACCAGTTCATTCTGTCACTAAATGTATCCCCAAACCTAACCTGAACCCTAAAATGTATCCCTAAACCTAACCTGAACCATAATTCACGACAACACCTAAAAGATGTGGTGGCATTCAGGGTTGTTAATTTTGCAATATTGTATTGGTATTGGTAGTATTGCCAATACTTTTTTAAGTATTGGGACGATATTGCAATACTTCTTGAAATTTGATATTGGTATTGGTATTGCCAATAATTATTTTTGATATTGGTATTGATTTTTAACCAATACTAAAAGCAATATTCAATAAATTCTCTACAACATTGGTTGTGAATAAAGCTGAATATAATAAATTTTTCTTTGGTGTCGCCATCTTGCAAGTGACATTGCCAAACAATTTTTGAATGAGACTGATCAATGAAATGAATGATAATAGAAATCAAATCATATATGATATCTTTGGCAATGAGCATTGACCAGTGACTTACCAAGGCTCGATTAAGGCTTAGGCACTTTAGGCACCTTGCCTAGGGCCTACAAACAAAAATAAGGCCAAACAAAGAAAAAATATTTTTTTCATTCATCCATTCATCCATTCACAATATGTGTACAGTATACATATTAAAAATCTTGTTGCTTAAGGACGTTAAGGTATGCCGACTTATTTAATATGTTGTCAAAGACTTTTGAATGATTTGAGGAAAACTGATGAAGCAAGTGTTAACTATTGAACAAAATTTGGTTAAAAATACATTGTCTAAATTAGCCAAAAATGTTGTTATCGTTTATCGATGTAAGTGATATAGAGCGATGAATTACGTATTTGCGTTTTATTCGTCGAATGACCCAAATATTGGTATTGGTAAGGCAATAATAAATAAATATTGGTATTGGTATTGCAATACTGGTTTTAAAATTGTATTGGTATTGGTATTGCCAATAGATTTTACAGGCAGTATTGGTATTGGTATTGCCAATAATTTTTTTTAGTATTGTTAACAACCCTGG